AAATACACAGACACCTGATCTTACAAATCTCATTAATAAAATCTTCATTTTCCAGATTAAAGGGCCGAGTTGCATTGTAATTATAAGATGGTTATATTAATGTTTCTCCAGGTTGGGAGGAGTTTATGGAGCAGACACACCAATAACAGATGGAGAGGCCTGGCTAACTAGCCCTTGTGCGTGTTGATCAGTAACTGCCCTCACGTTTGACAGAACCACTGCCGCAGGACTTTTCTGACTGAGCAGCCCCAGTTTTGCCATCATTTACAGGAGTTTTTGGACTGGAGCTCAGATCAAGCATTTTTTCCCCCCCAAAACTTACTTTTGGAAAAACTTTGGCAGAACATCAAGGAACATCAAGAAGTCTTTTTCGTCTGAGAAGCAAATACTTGTCAGTAGACATTATCCTCCATATGCAGATTCCGACTAGTTGCCTTGATGCCTCAGTGCTGAGTGCTGATGCTTCCAGAGCATTCCGTTTCACTGCGCTTTTCTTCGCTTTTCTACCGTTGAGTTAGCTGACAGTTTTTCGGCGTCCCTCAGTCACTGCGCCCCCTACCTCCCACATGCTTCTGTGCCGCCAATTTTCATAACCCGTTGAAAGGGATGCAAATCTGGAATTAAACTTTTGGTCACCAAGTGGCGATGGAGGACTGTTATCCTCGTGATGCCGTCATGCTAAATGACAGGGCGTTGAAAAAATACCCACAATTTTTTTGTGAATGGGTCCGGGTTATAAATGCAAATCAACCCCAACTCTTTTACGGCTTTTGCTAGTTCTGTGACTCTTCCCTTGGCAACATGCTTGTGCTGTTTTTGTGCTTGCAAGCAAGAGGCATCTCTGGAGTCTAATTTGCGAATAGGTTTAATGGCTGGAACCTAAATCTATACAAATCGACTCCTGTGCATAGGAAGCACAGTGATTATGGTATCTGAGAATTGTCTCTACGCCCTATTCTGCATCATTAAGTGGACAGAATTTTTAATATTTATAAAGTTTAGTGCAAAGACACTTCTAAACCTCCATGAAGACATTCTGTGCTTTGTTCAGGGAGAGAGAGATTTAGAAAAGCCTTAGCCTACAATGCGTTATTAAGCACTGTACCTCAAAGGCATATCTGTTGTAATACTTTTCCTCCACAGCCTGGTGTGCTCATAATATTAATTGCTTCCCCTATTGTGATGTGGCTGCCCTCGTATCGATCTGCTCTCGCAGATGTCTTGGGCAGTCGCAGAGCTACAGGCGACGGTGTCTCTGGCCTGTCGCAGGGTCTCCAAGCTGCCAGCGAGACGGGTCGCTACACCTCGTTTGTGCATCTGAGTCTCACGCAGAAGTGGAAGAATTCCTACACACCTGTAATCATGCTTGTATAGAGGGATTTTTTTTTTTTCCCTAAATAAATTTTCTAAATAAGTAATTTGGCTCTTTTGCGAAATTATTATTAAAAGATACTTTTTTGATGTCTGTGAGCAAATTTTCTTTTCACCTCCCCCATCTTGCGCTCCCTAACTTGGCCGTGAAGGGCAGCCACCCATAGCAGCGCCCAAGGAGCTGGTGGTTAAGGGCCTCACTCAAAGACCCGCAGAGGTGCCGAGGCTGGGCTCGAACCGGCAGCTGTCTAATCACAGACACTTAGCCCACTGAGCTACAACCTGCCTCCAAGTATCTTATAAGCAAAACCTTATTTTCCTAAGGGGCCTTCCACGTGAGGCCTTTGCCTCATAAAGCTCTTCTGCAGTGCCCTCCCCAGCTCTGTGCCACCCCAGACCATGCACGTTCTGAAGGGGAGGCTGTATCTGCAGAGGCTTGCACTGTGTCAGAGCGCTGATTGGCGTGGGCGGTCGGGCCTTGCAGGAACCCGAACGGCGCCGATAAGCTGCCTGTGTGGCAGCAGGTAGCCACTTCCTGCTTTGTGCCTCTGTCTGCACACGCCTGCTGGGCTCCCTGTCATCCCTGTCCTTTGCGCTGCAGTCTCCCCTCCCACACGCCCCTTCTGCAAAACGGCGCTGCCTTTAATTGGAAGCGTGGTCGGGACAATGCAACCTGAAGTGCTGCAATGCCCCCCTCCTGCGGGATCTCATCTCGTTTTGCTCTACATATTGTAATTGCAGGGAGAATGTAGGGATTTAAAAAAAAAATAATAATTGCACAGCCAGTGGTGGCTACAGCAGCATGCTGAGCTGCGCACTGCACTATGGTGGAACCTGTGCTTTCTGGGTGGGAGACATCTTATTGGGTGACAGGAGGGTAAAAAAAACAGAACCACAACGAAAGGACACCCTTGCCTTCTCTCCATGGATAAGAGGGCAGACCGGCTATGTCGATTCACTGACGACTCCCTGTGGAGCTGTTCCGCATGCAGTGTACTTTAACGGTTTACTTTGAGGATGTTATAAAGTCTGGGGCTGAGTCGGGCTTTAAAGTCAAAACTGTGGCTGCCGCTCTCTTGACCTCCTGTCAAACCATCACATGGACAATCAGTGTTTTTTTTTTTTTTTGCTGGAGAACTTTAAAGTGAAATGTAGCACAGAGGCATTTCCTTTTTTTGGAACGACTGACAGTTTTCCAAAGACTTAAGAGCAGTGGAGTGGCAGGATAAATTGTAGCAGCCAAGGTGGGGGGGGGGGGGGGTGACTGTCTACCTGCCTCCCATCACTCGCTCAGCATCACTCCACGCCCCCACCCCTTCCCTTCCAGCCCTCTTGATGTTTATCCCTCCGTTTTTCACTGTGAATATGCTGTTGCTGCAATTTCCTAATTTCCTCCAGCATGTTCGCAGTATTATTCTGCCACCTGTGCCCGTCACAGCAAGAATTCCCCACATTTCCTCTCCTGCCCCATCAGGCGGGGGCTGCGTGGCGGTTTCCCTTCAGCCAGTTCAGCCGCCCCTGCAGGGCTTTGCTTCCGCTCAGTATGTGGTACCGCAGTACTGAAGAATAAGTACCGTAAAGTGGCCACCCCATGCCTTATCTGACGGGTGTGAGTCTACTGCAGAAAAGCTGCTCCTGATGCATCACGCAGGCTGCACTCAGGACCTGTCCCTGACCTGCACATCAATCCCCTAAAGCAGGGGTGGGCAATCTTATCTACAAAGGGACACTGTGTATGCAGGTTTTTGGGGTAACCTTTAGGTCAGCTGTTCAAACCCAGGTGTGAGGACTCTTCAGCCAATCAGTCCTCTAATTAGTGACCTAATTAGGGAGTTACAGCAAAGACCTAAACAGACAACGGCGCTTTCTGGATAAGATTGCCCACCCCTGCCCTAAAGCAGTGTTTCCCAATCCGGTCCTTCGGGACCCCGAGCCGGTCCATGTTTTTGCTCCTTCCCAGCTCCCTGCCAGACAGTCCACATTTTTGTTCTCTCCCAGCTCTAAGTAGGACTGTCTGTGGGTCCCTGAGGACCGGATTGGGAAACACTGACCTAAAGGCATCAGGGCTGGTGGTCAGTCATGGTGCACATAGGAGGGTTGTAGTATCCTACATTCTGCTTGTAGCTTATTTTTGTTATTCAGCTGCTGGATGAGGTAGTTTTCCAGCCCTTACTGTTCCTGGCACTTTCCACAGAGAAACATGAACCCTGTCGAGATGTGATCCGCAGTGCGTGGTTTTTTTTTTTTTTTTTACACACGCGTGTCGCGTTTACACGTGTACAGTATGCATCCATACGGTGGATGTGCTTTTTTGTCACAGCTAAGCAGGATATGTATGTCTGAGCACATATATGTGGTTCATGTGTGCGTGTGTACTTGGCTTTGGAGCTCACTATGACATCTAATGTGAGCATGTGGGTGTGCGTGTCCGTATGGGGAGCGAGTGATCTGCGGGGGTGTGCGAGTTTAGCTACAGTCCCTCGCAGTGCATGTGTCTGCAGGCTTTGGAAACCACGATGCTAATGAGGGAGCAGGTGCTTGGCAGGACATCCCACGAGTGTCTGGCCAGATGGATGGGTTCCCTGCCCTTAAAGGGGAGGTGAAGGCGGGGTGATCTACAACTGCGGGGGGGGGGGGGGGCGGAGGTAATGAAGAATGTGTTTCGCACCACCTCTGAGGAAGTCTGTGATGTGTGCTGATGCTGACTAATGTTGGAGCCGCACTGCTTTGTCAGCGGCATTGCTGACAGTGAGCTAATTCAGAGTTCCAAGCTCCCCATCCTCTCTATGCGCAAAACCATACATTTTTTTCCTCAAGCTGACATCTCTCTGATATTTCTCTGATGCCACACTCAACTGGAAAAAAAATATGAGTCTTTTCTTTCTGGTACAACTCTTTTGTTTGATTATCCAGAATTACCGTTGCTTGGCATGACTGAGATGAATGCCAGAACATTCCTGTGCTGTCCTTCCAAAGGAAGGCTTCTGTAATGCAATATGCTTCCTAGATTTTTGAGGTTTTTTATGCCTCTTCAATGACGGCCTGTTAAATCTTTTACCAGGTGAAATGGAGCAGTGAGAGGAAAAAAATATAGACAACAAATAATATCCATCCATTTTCGGTAACTGCTTGTCCTATTCAGGGTCATGGGGGGTCTGGAGCCTATTCTGGAGGCTATGGGTACAACCCAGGATGGGGCTCTAACCAATCACAGGGCAGACATGCACCAGTCACACACACCTACAGTTAATTTGGTGACTTCAATCGGCATAGTTTCACACTGTGGGGAGACACCAGAGGAAACCCCACAGTGACACTGGAAAACATGCAACCTCCACACAAACAGAACCCAGGCAGGGACTCAAACCCAGGTCCCAGACGGGTGAAGCGACAGTGCGAACCACTGTGCCACCCCATAATTAATACTGTAATATCTAATTCTGTGGCTGAAAGACTCCCCCAGTCTCCTCCCACTTTAAAGGAAGAGCACTGCGAGTTGGTCATCACTGACATTCCCCCATGCCCCCCTCCCAGGTGGACTTGTCAGAGCCCTTACAAGCGAGCCTCCTCACTGGGCTCAGATCAGCTGCAACAGGGGTTCTGACACCTCATGTTCTCTCTCTGGGCAGGATCTGGGCAGTTTGGGGGGCCCCCCACGCAACTGGAAGGGCATTGGGATCGCCATGGTCGTCATCCTGGCTGTCCTGTCGCTGGTCACCCTCTCCATAATGCTGCTCACACCGGGTAAGGCCAAGAGAGATGGGGGAGAGCAGAACGGAGCGGGGACAGAAGGCAAAGGACGTTTAGCTTTGCCGCACACCAGGAAGAACACAGATCCACAATCAGACATATGGCGAATGTAAAAAAAAAGAACATTTCTTTGGGAGGCCTGGCTGCCTTACTGGTAGTTTTAGCTAAACGTCAGTCGTTTTTGTGGACCCAGCCATTAATCCGTCTGTCTTCTTCCACTGCAGATGAGACTCATCTCTTACACCAATCCCATCTCACTGTGGAAGACCTGGAGAGTGATAAATTCCAGACCCATGATCCCTGTGTCACCTGGCTGAATGGTGAGAGCTCTAATTGTCAGCTAGCATCGATCATTCTTATTGGCTCAGTTCACGTTTGAGTTTTTCCCGCGTTTTTCTTTTTTTCTGAGTGTGATATGCACAATTATTATATAATGCATATGAGTGCTATTGCAGTGCTGTTGCAGCAGTCTTCCACTAGGGGTGAGCTGAATATCCAGCTGAAATGAGTATCCGGTATGAACAATGTGTCCTTTCCAAGCCATTTGTCATCAGATCATTAATGAGGAATAGCCATATCCGTCTTCAGCCTTTCTTTCCGTTTGCTCATTGGATTTCAGGGTTGCAGTGATGCTCATTAGCTGCTACACATACTGTCCCACCCAGATAACCTTTAATTACAAGATATTCTCCAGACACCAGTCTCTCAAATGTGGAAGAAGGAGGAAGTCTTCCAGACATCCCTGAGTTTTAATGTTAGATCTGCATCACATGCAAAATCACTGCATGTAAGCTTTGTTCAGTTTTGTTGTTGTGTTAAAATCTCTTGGTCCCAATTAGCTCATATCATATCTCTCATATATTTAGTTCACATCATATCTGGCATACATTGGAGAATCCCATGTAAAAAAAATACTCTCCCCTAGTCTTGGGAGGTATCTAATTTTATGTAACGTCCTTCCACTATACTGCAGTATACAGTTTCTTCCAAAGCAACGCAATTTTGGTAAGTTTTTGATATAATGCTATAATGGTATCTTGGTGCCCCATGATAAAATTTACGGAACAAAAATACTTTTGCATACTGTATTACTACCTACGCCTACTTTATGGTCCTTATATGGCTAAGCATATATAATTATGGCCCCTTTCATATATGATTCAAATGTGTATGATATACGATCTTGTTGATGCTTGTGGTCACATTTATATATGGCCACATATGCATTGCTTATATGTTTTAGGTGCAACATACTAATCGTATACAGTCAATGTACAAGAAATGCAAGTTATATGCATTTTTACAAGACTTTTTAATATGACAATATCTACAAAATTGCACATTTCTAGGTTAAACCACACCCACCTCATATTAAGCTCCGTCCATTATAGAAATGAATACAGATCATTTTGTTGATTGAACAAATACAGTCCTGTACTTCCTCACCACTGTCTTCCACCAAAAGGACAGGATTCATGCTGGCCTGGAGATCTTGTTGACCATTGCATAAGACCTCCGGGTGACATTATTTGGCTGCAATCTGGTGATAGATATTGCTGGTACAGTTGGTTCCAGCCCACAGTGTGACTTGTGGCTGTTGGCTGAAGAGAGGCCGCATCAGAGGAATGCAAACACTCTGCTCTTGATGGCTTCTGGCAGGTACAGATAGCAGAGAGGTTTTAGACCCGCCAAGCTGTGGTGGAAAACAGGAAAAAGATCCCAGAAAAGCTGTAATATAACAAACATCCAGACATTGTACTGAATTTGTGTATGCTCTCTGTTCATGAATACAGTATATGCTACACAAAAAATCTGAAGCTGTTAATATCGAACCTTAGGTGCTGTATTCTGCTACTGTAGCTGTACAACAGCTAAACATTCCATCACTGACATCACATCTATAACCAAAACAGTTGCTAACATATTCTCAAGGGCAGACATAATAATGCACAGCTAGTAACCTGAATATTCTATATGTAGTCATCCGAGATATGTCTTTGAAAATGAAGCTCATAAATGCTAAAGAGAAATACTCAATATTCCTTTTTCCTTAAAAAGGAAATTCATAACTATGTTCTAATAAACAAATATATATATCTATCAAGCAGTCGATAAAGGAATTTAGCTGCTCCATTGTGAGAAATGGGAGGTAAACATATTTTCTGGGGAGGAAGCGTTAGGTGACTGAGGTTGTGCATGATGATTCGTCCCACTGTCGCTTTGTAGTCCCTAGTTAGACTGACTCACCTCCAGCCCGAGTTCTGACTGCTGTGTAAGTTATTATATCCTATGTTTTCTCCTCCTTGCTAAAGCGGCGCCCTTGTTTTCCATGCTCCCCCCCTCTGTGTCGTGTTGACCCTGTCCTTGCCTAATAGCCGTAACGCCCTAAAAGCGAATGCTCACCCCCTGAAGAACCTGCTTGGTCATCACTGGGTCACGTGATTGTGTTTGCCGTCCCAACCAAATGATTTTCAAATCTACATAAAAGTAGGAAAAACCTAAATTACTCATAAATACTCATTTTGCATATAGTAATTAGGGTCAAAGACGTGGCACAAGACATCAGGTTCAAATATCTGTACTTAGAAGGTGTTTCCAATTGTTTCAAGTGGAGGACCTATCCTATTACGCCAGAAGTAGATTTAGGATGTCCAGGAGAGCTGCGTTTTCACTGAAAATATTGAACTTCGGGTACTCTGTTCTGGCTGTACAACAGCTACACACTCTATCACTGACAAAGACCCTCGCCTGTCCAGCCGCAGATGTACACTGGATAAAAATGACACCCAGGTAAACATTGCTTGCTTTTTGGTATTGGAAATGTTAGAGACAAATGAGACAGGAGGTTTAAACTGAGAGTGTTTGAAAATATCCATGTTAGTTTCACCTACACTTGCTCATTCTACCATTTTCCTCTTGAGGTGGGTAAGAGCAGAGATGGAAAAATACACATCAGAATAAACTGCAACATTATAGCCACCAAGCAAAGTAGCAATATAAGGAACAGTATTTTGTATTAGTCTTCTGTATCAGCCTGTTTCTTCACAAGCACACTGATTCAAAACGGTCAAGCGTAAGAGCAACATTTTTTCACTGCTTAATGAGACACAATGCAAATGTGAAACCAGACAAAAGACTTAAGAATATTTGATATCTTAAATATATCCCAACTACTCATGTGAGCATTCAGATAACGGTAAGTTAATCGAATGAAAAAGTCAAACTCAGAAAGATTTGTTTTTTTTTTTGTAATGCAGAGTTGAAGCAAACGCGTAGCACTTCACAGGAAGCACAGGGCACAGTCCAACTAAATTGTATTTTTAGATGAAGGGAGAAACTCCACAGGAGCCAGATGGGATATCTCTGGGGCAAGAAGCCATCCCGTTACCCACAGAGATACTATAATATAAACAATGTGTATCTATAACGTAACTTTCTGCTAACTGTCTTCTCTAGGAAATGCACTTACCAAATCTGCCGATTGTGCAAGAGTTGCACCATCTTTACTATCTGCCTCTGTTATGATGCTCAAAAAATAATTATTAATTATTAATAACAAAACAGTGACAAGGGCAGAAAGGGAAATCACTGACATCTGTTTCAAAAATGATTGAATTTTAAAAGAATAGGATTGAATTAAACTTTTAAAACCTAGGTGTCAAATAAAATATTCACTGAGAGAGGGGAAAACCTCCATTTCATTCCCATTCTTCAAGGTGTACACATATATAAGATGCTAAGATTAATCATATACCACACTGCTAAAAAGGAGTCACCCAGTTCTAGTAAGCTGGCAGTAAAATTTTATGTTGTTTCTCTTCTTAGTGAAAAGTTTGTCATGTGACAATGCTGTTAAGTGACCAGAGCTGTCTTCTTCCGCAGAGGACGAGGTTGTCCTTTGCAGCAGGGAGGGTCACGTGATCAAACATGACCTCCGCACCAACCAGACGGCCACGCTGCTTGACAACAGCACTTTTGTGAGTAACAGTCATGATGATGAAGCAGGAAAAGCGCGAGCAGGTCTCCATACCTACGGGGGTCATAAGTGATGCAGGGCTTCTCATTCATTCTCACTCCTCATAGACCTTGGCTGTATAATGCATCTCCCTATGTAAATCTGTGTGGTTTCAGAGAGATGGGGAAACAGCCTCCACACTACACTGACAGACTTAAGTGGGTCATTGCCTTGTTGCTGTGCAAGGCTGCTTGTCAGAGCGAAGAGCAGTTTCCTCACAGCCACCCCCACCCCCCCCCCCCCCCCCCCCAAATGTCTCACATCATGTATCAGTGTTAGTTATGAATTTTTATGGCTTGTTTTATACTTACACTGAGTTTTGGAAGATGGGCCACCTGGCTTTTCTTGTCTTGTTTTCCCAAAGGACCTGAAAGCCGCAAAGTTCCAGGTTTCAGCGGACCAGAGGTTCGTCTTGTTGGCATATAACATCCGGCAGGTGAGTCTTCATCTGCAATGCGCAGTGGGGGTGCACAAGCACCAAACAATGCGACGTACAGCCCCCAATCCCTTGCACAGAGACGTAGGGTACCCCCGCCTCGAGAAAAGGGGGCTACGGCTCACACGCCTGTCACTCGCTGGCGTCCCCTAGAGGCACGGTCGATGTGTGCTCGCGCTTTTGCAGGCACAAGGCAACCTGCGAGGACATTAAGGCTGTAGCCCCCCCAGATAATGGCCGGTTGCCCCCTCTGAGACAACAGGAAGTATTGCTGCAGCAGTCCTTGGGCAGCTGAATTGCTGGGAAGATATGTGGGGATGTGAATATTCATGGGGGCGGGTGGGGGACTCAAGCAGAGACAGAGTGAGATGGGTATCCAGCCAGGGGGAATTTACAGCTGGACTGATGAAATCTCTGTGGTGTTTTTTGCTGCGCCGTATAAAGGGATCTCCTGACAAGTGTGCAGTTTCCGGGCTCTCTGCTGGGCCGGGGAGGCACACAGAGGGCACAGCCATTTCTCTTTTTTATCACCTGCTGTGCTCTTCCCAACCCCCTGACCCACCCTGTCTGTAAATAATCCCACACTTAATAAATACCCCCCTCTTTCCCAAAAAGAGTGTGATCAGTTATAAAAAACAGAATTTTAAAAAGCAATAAAACAGCAGAGTATTGGCTTATTAAAGAAGCGGCACATATATATTGCGGATCCTTGAGTTTGAGTCCATCATGCGCATGCGCTGCTGAGGTAGACTGTTAGTCTTTAACCTTACAGCTGTACCTGTACAGGCGTATCAAGCTTTGCCAGATTTCTTTGTCTGATAGCTCTGATTCCTGCTCTCCCACTTCTTATCTTGCATTAAAATGTCGTCCGAGATGCAGTTGGACAAACGCCTTTGGCTGCTTTGTGTTTGCCGAGTGTGTCTACATCCTTACCAGAGTACATATAGATAGAGGTTTTCTGGCATAATGTGCACTCGATTGCCGGGGTGATGTTTTGTGTGTGTATCTGTGCTGTGTGTCTGTCCTTCAGTGTGTCAGTGGAATACATGGCAATTACAGGCATGTAACAGACTGTCCCCGTGTTCCTATCTGTAATGGATGCCTTTACTGGCTCTTATCTCTCTGACCGTATTCCATTGTTTTCCCTCTCAGCAGGGATTTTGTGCTGACTTAAGCAGTCTATGCTGGCTAGCTCATTCAGTGGGGCAGGGGATTTCTAAGACAGCGAATGTGCAGGGAAGAAGAAAAAAATGCGATGCGCGTCCGGTGCCCTCAGATCGCCATGTATATTCAATGGCACATTGACTCAAACTAACAGCCCCGCAGCAGGGGAGAGCGTGGGCAGGGTAATGCTTTGGAGGTTCACATTAAAAACACGGAGGATCCTGTGTTCGGCCGGTAGGTGCACAAAGAAAAGAGTAGGAGCGAAAGAGGAGGAACCCGCGGCAGGAAATGCCTTGCCGATGCTTAAATGAAGGTGGTACGTGCAATTGTGTGTGTCTATTTCTGTGAGGCTTTGGGAGGCTATTAAAAAGAGGGAAAGGCAAGTGAGTGTAGGAGAATGAAGGGATTTAAAAAAGCTAAAATTAGAGAGAGAGAGAAGCAGAGACATTGCTGGGTGGCAATGCAAAGGGGAATTATGCTTTGCATTTCTGAAGATAAGGACCTGCAGAGCTGCATGAAGCCTTGTTTTCTCTGCTTAAGTCATGTTTACGGCAGTATTTGCTACTGAACCACTTTAAGTGTCCAATTATGGTATGTCAAAATACCTTTTTAGCATATAGTTCCATATAGTATTTCAGCAAGACTAAGTGGAAGACTAATATTTTAATTGTACATGGACTGTTCTGGGGGAAATGCAAAGGCAGTATTCATCACCATCTCAATACGTTGCCCCAGCAGACTCCATCTGCCTCACCGCAGCTCCAGAAAGGCACCCCTAGCAATAAGTTCTGGACCCACGCCTCAGGCCTCTAGACAAACCTTAGAGAGCTAATTAAACAAAGAGTACATGACGCAACGGCCCACGAGGCAACACGGCCTGAAGCTTTTGTTTCCTTTGCTGCTACCTGCTGGATTGTTACCGTCTACCTCTCGTTTAGCTCTGCGGCCTTCAGATATACGTTTGCATTTGGTTCATTTCATAAACATGTTTTGTTTGCTGTTCCGGTGCTTAATGATCCTTGATGTGGCATGTTAGATTTGTTGGGAGCCATACTCAGGGCAGGTTTAGGTTACCAGCATACATTTAAAAAATAAGTTGACTTAGACCTCCAAAGCTTTAAAGCGGCCTTCTCCAGCCTTATTTGCAGTGAGCTACTTACTCTACTTTACTGTGTGCAATGTTTGATATAAGATTGTATCACCCAGGGTGGGGCGGGACGATAAAACTTGTCAAGCAGGTGGGGGGATTAATTCTCCTTGGACTCAGCATGTGACGGCTCTGGAGCATGCTGTGACAGCATGGTGCTCATTGTCCGAAACAGTCAGAATGGTACAGTATCAAAAATGTGGAAATGAACACTGCAGACAGTGTGGAAATGAACACTGCAGACAGTGTGGAAATGAACACTGCAGACAGCTTCTTCGCCTGTCTAATTGTACCATGTGCCAACTGGCTAATGTTATGCTTAACAACTGACTGCTGTGACTTGAATGTCATTTTTTTTTTAAGATTAATGTTTAGGTGAGTGGGATGATGTTCCTAAATATTTAGTCATAAGTCACGTATGTTGTAAGGTGAGGAGTACCTGTGTGTATATTGTGTTAATATGATTTATAAGGGTCTTTAGTGGGGAAAAAACAAGGATGCACACTATAGCTCTCATAACATCTGTCCAATAGCGCTCAGATTAAGAACATATACATACAGAAATAACACAGCATGAAAAAGCACAGACAGGAAGGGCACAGACAGAAAGAGCACGGTGAGGAAGGGCACAGACAGGAAGGACACGGTGAGGAAGGGCACAGACAGGAAGAGCACGGTGAGGAAGGGCACAGACAAGAAGAGCACGGTGAGGAAGGGCACAGACAGGAAGAGCACGGTGAGGAAGCGCACGGTGAGGAAGGGCACAGACAAGAAGAGCACGGTGAGGAAGGGCACAGACAGGAAGAGCACGGTGAGGAAGAGCATGGTGAGGAAGGGCACAGACAGGAAGAGCACGGTGAAGAAGCGCACGGTGAGGAAGGGCACAGACAGGAAGAGCACGGTGAGGAAGAGCATGGTGAGGAAGGGCACAGACAGGAGAAGCACGTTGAGGAAGGGCACACACAGGAAGAGTACAGTGAGGAAAAGCACGGTGAGGAAGGCCACAGACAGAAACACCACACACAAGAACAACACAGTTTGGAAGAACACAGAGAGAAACAACACGCTGTGACAAGGTAACTGCTTGATCCCACAATCAAGATTCTGTACCTTCTTAATCCCTTAAGGCCTCCATTCCCTGACACCTAGATGAGACATCTATTCAGTAACAGACAGCTTCATTTGGGATGGAGGAGAGAGTCTCCACCCCTCTGTCCTCCTAATTTCTCTTCCATCTCCCTGTGGGGAGCTGGAGACACTCTTCATCCTCTAACCTCAGGCACCCTCATTAATCTCCCACGTTAGAGAAGCGAGTAGTTTGTCAGCCCCGCAAGGACAGCCAAATGTCCTGCAGTTCTGAGATCTCCTCACCCCAACCCCTCACCTGCTAATTGCCCCTCTGTCACCTTTTCCATCTTTATTTGGAGCACAAACTCCCAGCACCAATTGTACTCACCAGTGCTGATTGGTATGCAGGGGAAGCTGTAGCTACAAACCCATTTGATAAATTAGAGACAGATTTGAAATTGGATTGAACTTTTTAGACTCTAGTGTATGTACTCAAGAGTTTCTCGGGGTTTTTTCCACAGACGGGGCTTATGAGCTACTTCAGATGTTAAGTTAGTGCAGTTGGGACTTAAAAACAAGTAAAGGAAGCCATCTTCTGTGCTCTTCATGAAAGCAATGTCCTGAAGTGGCCGTGTTAAATATTCATGTGAGAATATACTCTTTGTTAATGTAAATGCACATGTAACAGTGGATAACAGTGTCTGCTGAGCAGATAATAAACGTCATTATGAGGAAAAAAGAATGTGCTATTGATTAATTATCCGCTGGCCTTCCCATCCTGTGGCTAACTGTATATCCATGCAGGAGCCAAGGCGCTGCTCCATATTGAAAATGTTTACTAGACATTAATTATACCGCCAAGCTGGGACCTCAGACATGCTCACCTATGCCCTCCCCCGTGTGTCTGCGTCCTGCTTGAGACCAGAGCCTGGACCTGATGGAGAGCAACTGTGGATTAGGACTTTGACGCCCTGAACTGATTTTAGAAACGCTTCAGTTTCTCAGCCCGCAATCATTTGACTGGCTTATGGAAACAATAGCCTGAGGTGATTTATTACAGTGCTGCTCTCCTGTGGGACTGTGGGATTGTGGGGCAGCCACTGCCTCGACCTGCCTGGGTTTCATCAGCACTCATATCACCCTCCCCCATCGCAGCAGGCTGTGGCTCTGCCTTAGTCACTGTCAGTACAGACCTCTTTCTTCCTGTGTATGTCTGTATATGGCTAGTCTATAAAGGTGTACCTCGGTAAAGGGGTGTTTACAGTTTGTTCATGCAGTTTGAGATCCTTACTGGCACGTCTTCATGGTGCAGACGCAGATGCAGATCCTTCGGCTGAAGGTTGTGTGTGTGTGGGTTAGTGCGTGTGTCTGTGTGCCATGCAGGGACCACCCTCCCACTGGTGCGCTGTCCTCTACCCCCCTGCAGGTATTCTCACAGTCCTTCACAGCCTCCTATGCCATCTACAGTGTGGCCACCGGGTAGGTAGGGTCCCTGGGCTATCCTGCCGCCCTCCCCACCCCCCCGTGTTTGGCATGTGGAAAACTAACAGGACTGAACTGGACCGATCCGGGACATGCATGCCTCTCAGCACCTCCATCTGAACGCCGGTGCTGTGTGGCGCACCTTCACCTCCCTCATGGCTAGCCTGTCATGTTCTGGATGGCTTCTTGTGCCGAAGATCAGTTAACAGCAGGTTTATTACTTTATTATTATTATCATATGAGTGCAGTGCCCCAAACACCCATCTGACGCCAATCATGTTACGGCAGGGAGTCCCTTAAGGGCACCGCCAGTATAGATCGGAGAGGTATATTGGTGGGTGTTACATCAGAGATTCAATGGCCCTGCACAGGACATTCCCAGGAAGGTGGTGGTGGTGAGGGGGGGTCAACATCGATGGTAGCTTTGGGGAAATTCCTGCAGCCAAATGGGTTCTCCATGTTTGCCTGTTCATGGGGAGCACAGCTGTAACTACAAACCATCATTTGAGAGCTCCACTTTGCATGGTTTGACTCCCATTCACCATCAAATGTTGCATTTGCATCCTGTTTATTTCTGTTGCCGTTTTGGTTCGTCTTGGCAGGGGGTAAGGAGTCGTTCCCGCTTTTCTAATACTCAGGAACAGGTATTGATCATTGGTAAACATGTCCCAGAAACTGCAGTCTTTAAAAAGCAAGGCATCATTCATTGCCATTATATATTTGTCCTAGGGACATAGTTGAGCTCGCCGCTCCTGGGAAGGACGCGTCTGTGCTACAGTTTGCTGCGTGGGGTCCCCAAGGAAACCAGCTGGTAAGAAAGCCCCCATCTGCCTGTGCTTGTATTGATGTGTGTAGGTTTATATGTTACTTATTGGCTCAACCCATTGGCCACTTCTCAGTTTTGCTATTGATCTTTCTCATCCCTGGTTGCCAAATCAGTTGTACTGCATGTCAATAAAAATGCATTCTAGAGTATATACACAATTAAAATACAGCTATATCCAAACCAAGACTATATTATAAAGGGTTCGATCAAAATAGAACTCTATGCTAATCTTAACAGACTCTATGCATTTCACTGAGGCTTTCATCCAAAGTGACTTGCAGTTGAGGGAAGATGAAGAAGTGGGGGATACGAATATTACATTTTGCAAGACACATTAACTTTTTAGGGGGCAGTGTGTGGCTCAGTGGGCTAAGTCTGTGTGCCTGTAATCACAAGGTTGCTGGTTCAAATCCAGCCTCAGCATGTCTGTGGGTCTTTGAGCAAGGCCCTTAACCCCCAGATCCCTGGGTGCCCCAACAGGTGGCTGCCCTTCATGGACAGCTTACTCTACAAAGAGCAAGTTGAGGGCAGTCTAATGACAATTTCACAGAGATTAAAAAAGTATCTATCTGTGGTCTCTGGCCTTTGAACCTGCAACCTTTGCAGTATCAGTGCAATATTCTATTTATTTGTCTAGGAACTATAAATACACCAATAAATACATAAAGCACACTCACAAGCATACAGTATAGAGGAGGTACAGTATAGAGGAGGTACAGTATAATTGTCATGCAGGTTGGTTGTCAGAGTTTGTAACTATTGGGAGCTGTGTTTAAATTCTACCACATAAGGTTTGACCCATTTTTTCATAGTTTAATCAAGTTTAATATATGGCAGTGAAATGATAGTATATATTTAGTGTTTTTAGCCCCTAAGAGACAACATTGTGCATTGCTTGCTTTTTGGCATAAATTCTGATTGCATTAGGATAACTCATAATTTGGACTTATGTCAGGTATACTGAAGGGATGGCTATATTCTGATGTTCAATTTTTATTTCTCTGCCAAACTGCACAAGAAATATATGCTAAAAGTCTGATTTGGGCATGTTGATTCATTTTCAGTGTTGGGCATTTCAGGTCCAGAAGTTACAAATCCAGATCAAGATTTTGTTTCTACCAACCAGTTGAGTACCGTATGACTGTGGCTCTTAATGCTCAACTGGTTGGTTCCTGGACCAGAAATGCCAAACACTGCTCATTATTACCTTATTAAAAGGGGGACTATTATGCTAATTTTCACTGTTCATAATTTTATTTTTGGGTCTATTAGGATAGATTTACATGCATCCGTGTTCCAAAATCACATTATTTTTCTCATACTGTACATCTCTATTCACTCTGAAATGCTCTGTGAGCTTAAAGCCCCACCCCCAATGAGCCCAGTGTGCTCTGATTGGTCAGCTTTCCCAGATGGTCAGCTTGCCTTACACCCCTGTCTTGCAGCCTGCAGACAGATTCTTGCAGCTAGGCAGCCAATAACGATTGTGTTACGAGGTGACCTCAACATGTCACGGAATTACCACCTTCTACTCTCCTACTGTATTGTGGATTAGATGATTTCGCCCCCTTAATGACTTTGGTCTGACCCTGGCTGTTGCTTCCAGATATATGTCTTTGAAAATGACATCTACTACCGGACTGATGTGTCCAGCAACACCTTGCGTCTCACATACACAGGCAGGGAAGGCCTGGTGGTCAGTGGTCTGACTGATTGGGTCTACGAGGGTAAGGACATTTGCTGAAATGTATGTGGCATACTGACTGCTATTCTGTATGTTTTACTAAGAAGCATCTGTGGTGACAATATGATCATGCAAGAAGATCAAAAGTTATCTAGTCACTTCTGCAGAGCATTTCATTCTAACTTTCATCTTATCCGGCATGCACCATGCAAGACAGTATGACTATTATATTCTGTGGACAGAGGAGGTTCTCCTCACATACCAGGCCCACTGGTGGTCTGAGGATGGAGCCCGGCTGGCGTACCTGACCATCAATAACTCAGCCACACCTTTCATGGAGATACCCCACTTCCTTGGAGAGGTCTACCCATCTCCCTTGTTCTATGCCTACCCCAAGGTGAGCAAGAGGACCCTAGTTAACGTTGCAAATGTAATTTTTTATGTTTTTTTTTCCTGTTTTAAACATTTTTAGTCAGCTCATTTTTTTTCCAAGCCAATTTTGCTTTAATGTTTGTCCAATGAATGCATGAACCAGGCTGGTGCTAACATTCCTGCTGTGAGCCTCCATGTTGTCAACCTGTATGGTCCAGCCCACACCTTGGAGATGGTTCCTCCAGACTCCTTCAGTTCCAGGTACCATTCTGCTCTCTACCCCTCATCCCTGCTCTGTTCTCCGCTTTATTCTATTTCTGTTTACTCCTCCAGCTTAGTTCTCTACTTTAATCTTCTACGATTCTCTGCCTCTCTACCAATGCAATGGATTCTAATATATATAAAGTTTTGTTATATATTAAAATATATATCATTATATAAAAATGGTAACACTTTACTTAAAGCTTTCATCTATAATGCATTATATATACCTTCATAATGCATCATAATGTCCAGTATAAGAATTAATAAAGCAATACAGCATCTTCTTTTGATGTTGTAAGGCATTATAGTGTTTATTATTATACTTCATAAGCCCCAGTGAAGTTCTCATCTATAATGCACTATAGATACCTTCCTAATGCATTATAAACGCATCCTTAATCCGTGTACCAACCATTATAATGCATTAGGAAGGTATCTATAGTGCATTATAGATGAGAGCTTCATAAGGCAATCATAATGCATAATAAACATGGCTATAATGTGTTATGAGCTTTTATAAATACTTATAACGATTTTGCTTTATTAACGTATTATGCGTTATGAAGGCCTTCATAGAATGTATTACCGATATTACATTTTCATTTTGGATCTGATATATACATGTTTTGTGTTTAATCCAGTAATGGCATCCTCAGGGGAGAGCAGTAATGAGTGTTTGAGAGACTCCCTGTGTGTCTCTCCTCATGCAGGAGTCACTATATCTCCATGGTGACCTGGATCAGCAGCACACAACTGGCCGTACGCTGGGTTAACCGGCCGCAGAATCAGTCAGCGCTCTCTGTATGCGAGGCCACCACAGGCGCTTGTTCAGAGGTGAGAGTTTAAATGTCAAAATTGCTTTTCAATCAATCATACTGCTCACAATCGGGGCAACATCAGCAGGCCTCCTCTGTTCACAGCAGCCTGCTAGCAGGAGTGTGAGATGTGTTGCTCACTGTGGGTGTGAGCTGACACACACAGCTAAGGAGGAGTGACCTAACACCTGTGCCATTTTCTCTCTGTCCTTTTGTTTCTTCAGAAGCACAAACTGCCAGTAGATATTTGGCAAGATCAACTTCAGGTAATGTTTCTTTTGGCTAAATAGTCCCATTAGGTATTTACTGACTAATTAAGAATCTTGGTCATAATCTCTGAGCAACGAAGGGTTTAAGCTGCTTCAGAAGATGAAAAACAAACATCTTTTGTAAGGAAAACATGTATTTAACTTACACAAATGCATCATCCAGTATTCCTTTGCAGTTTGCAGAGTTCTTATACGTTGTTTTAGATCATTAACCTTCATTAAAACAATTTGCCACAATGAAATGAAATTTTATATTTAGTAGCTAAGTAAGTATAGATAACAAAATATTATTGATGTTATCTATGGACTCCATTGTTTGCTCTTGCTGAAAATGATCGAATTTCCAACAGGAGGTGCCGTTGTTTTCTAAAGATGCCTCCACGTTCTACTTAACCCTTCCTGCCAAGCAAGGTGCCCGAGGGGAGTTTCGGCACGTGGCGTCTCTGCAGGCCCAGGTCAGCCTGGAGACACCTGGACAGGCTTTAAACACCTTTCCGTCTGATCTAACAATGCACAAGAGAGCTGGAATAGACCGTCACCTATATTTTATTAACTTTCCTATATTCTACTCAAACATTCTGTGTTGGGTTTTCACGGTAGTTCTTTCATGCTACGGAAGACCCGTGTCTTTCCTAGTATTTGAATGGTCGGTTAGAGCTGAACATTAAGAAAGTGCATTTCAGTGGCAATATCTATTGCCATCCACTAGTCAAATAGAAATACCAAAGTGTCTTTTATAGTCATTGTTTTTAGAACGTTGAAACAGTTTATTGGTTCTCAGATGGATAAACCACTTAGCAAACTATATGACCTCCATCACTTGTATTGTATATGGCAATGGATACATTTATATACACTGTGCATTCCTTTATGTCAGAATGCTAATGCGTTCCTGTTGAAACACCAGAGTCCCACCTGCTTCCTCAGTACAATCCTCCAGGTCCATCCCTTTATCTCTTTTTCCCTCTATCCTATCCTAGCCCCCAGTACCCTCAGCTCCTCCGCGCTTCCTGACATCAGGAAACTGGGATGTCTCCTCGCTCTGCGCCCTGGATGAACAGAGTGGGAAAATGTACAAGGCTCCCCATTACGCCGTAGTGGTAGCTATGTACTGGGGATTGGCCCTGGCATATTACAGACCAGCAGCTCCCCTTCAGATGTCTGGATATGCTGAACTCATAAACCAGTTTTGCCCCCCCCCAAACACACACACACACACACACACACACACACACTTAGATTAACTGCCCTTGTCAATAACTATGGCAGCCCGTGGAGAAGTGAATGAATGTTTCTCCTTTCTGCTTGTAGATATTTCCTGAGTAGTGAGATGTCAAGACAGAGCAGGCACTTGTACAGGTGAGCACTGCTTTGAAGGGCTTTGAAGGTGTATGAGCCTCATGCATTATTGACTAATTAGTCAGGTGGTTATGCTCTGCATCTCGTCAGGTGGCTTCAGGGTTTTCTGCTCACAATGCTAATTTGAACCTTGCATGATTCTAAAGCTGTTGCAGAATTTTCCCCTAGTTATATATAGATCGTCTTGCAAAACAGCATTGCATGCCAGCCTTGATTTTTTTCAGCCTATTGCCATGTATCTTAGTATTTTTCAATCCAACTTGACATAGTAATATACAGCTGTGAACTCCAGTACCACATATGTTATGATGAAACCTTCTATCTCAAAAGATCAGAGGACTAGGAGAACTAGAGATGCCAAAAAGTAATTTATATAGGGATAGACAGACATAGAATAGATTTTATTCATTATCTAGAATAGAATTGTTTTTATTTATTTATCTAGACATATTTTATGCGTCAGCTAGCTGGTTTGCATGCTCCTGTGAGACATGACAGCTAGGGTACGTTTAGCTTTGATCACCTACCATTGTTCACTGCAGGTTTTTGTTATCTGTAAGTATTAGGCAATATTTTTGTCTTGGTGGACCTTGAGCATGAGCCTGAACAAACCCGTTCATGCAAGTTAGTGTTCTTTTAATTAATTAGCCAGTTCATATAACAGGGGAATAAAAACAACATTGAGATTCAGCTCAGTAAGTTGCCTGTCTGCAAACAAGGCTGGATCGCCGAGGTAATGCAAACGATGCCCCTCATTAATCTCAGTCTTGTGTGCCGGTGGCAGAGACACGGTCTGTGACAGCAGCAGGCTTTTGTTTGTTAGAAGCGACGCAGTGTTGGTCAAGGGAAGACAATGACAATGCCCAGAATTACAGGCTCGCTCTGTGTTCAAACAGGGGTTGTTTTCAACGTGATAATGAACATATCAACGTAACAAAAAAGCATGCCGTGTTGAGATTTACGCCGGTCATGGGAAACGGGTATTTTAAAACATGTACGGTGGAGACTGCGTTCTGGTTCTGATTTTGTCACAAGATGAACTACTCTCATTTTACATGTGTGTGTAAATGTTAAGGTTAGGCTCTTTGCGGGCCTTTTTCCCTCTTGAGCTTGCCTTAAGAACACAGAGACTTGGTTCATTTGCTCTGCCTGAGGCTATTGCCAAGCAAGAGCAGTGACTGTGCAACTTCACAGACCATTGTTAAAATTACACTACTCAATATACTGCTACTAAAATGGACCAGTCTTAAGTGCTGGTTTGTGTCTCTTAGTATGTCTTCATTACACTGTACTGGTTGTGTCAGCATATGTATGCATTAACAGGATACAACACACCTTTAAACCTGATTTTCGATGCAAAATTACTTAATAAAATTTAGGTCAGCTGTTTAATATAGTAAGTTCTAATTCATATTTATTTAGTTGTTTTTCATAATGTCGAGTAACGATGCCGTCTAATCCTATCCTCAGGGAATACATGTTCTTTTCCTGGTCATATTCCGACAGAGCTTATAATTAATTAGGAATGATTGAGATACTGATTGAAATCTGCCGACTGCTGCATATAGCTTTAAAGGTGTAAAAATATTCATTTGGCCATAAAAATACAAGCCTGAATGTAATTTTGTCCTATTAATGGTTTAATAAACTACGTGAATATATGTATAACGGTAATATGAATGAATGCAGTCATGACTGCATGACTGCAATGAATGAATAATTAACAGAACTAAAAATAATTAGATGTTGTTTCACATTATCATTGCAACCCTATACAGATATATGGGTGGATGGATGGATGTCATTTTATTTTTTATGCAAAATGCAGCAGTCCAGGGTAAGAGTTTACTTTTTGTCAGAGCATACTTATAACTTCTTAAAGATCCTAAGAATAGTAAATAAGCGTAGATTAAATGTCAGGATTATTGTCATGACCATTAAATAAGACTGATGAAGATACCAGGCACTGAGGAATCTCCAGAGCAAAGCTGGGAGATCCTGGTCTGTAAAACGCATGAATCAACTTCAGGTTAAATGACGTTTTTATCATTTAGCCAACAAATTATTTTCAATAGAAAGAGCCCACTTTGACTAACAAAACAGAAATGCTGCTCTTGTTCTGGATGATTCAGTTCACTTATTGTATAATAACTGAGTACAAATGTGTCTCCTACCCCCTTTTAGTGTGGACCTGAGTGGCGTCTTGCAGCGGCAGTGTCTCACTTGTAATCTGATAGAGGACTGCAGCTTCCTCAAGGCCCAGTTCAGCCCTAATCGGACCAGATTTACTCTGCACTGCCTTGGTAAGGCTGTGGGTCTCTTGCCTCTTTTTGTTCGCTACATAAACACGCAAACAATAAATATGCCTTCCTATTGATGCAGTTACTTTAACTACACTATATGGACAAAAGTATTTTGACGCACCTCGTAATCATTGAATTCAGGTGTTTCATTCAGCCTCATTGCCAATGGCATGGGTGTAAATTATTGGGGGGGGGATACAACCTCTTGGACCCCCTTAAATGGGTGGAGACCTCAACCCCCCAATGCTCAACCCAAAGTTATGCCCTTGACCACAGGTGTATAAAATCAAGCACCTAGCCATGCAGTCAAGTTTACAAACACTTGTGAAAGAATGGGTCACTCTGAAGAGCTCAGTGAAATCAAGCGTGGTGCTGTCATAGGATGACACCTTTACAATAAGTCAGTTCTTGAAAAGTCTTCCCTGCTAGGTATTCCATGGTCAACAGTAAGTTGTATTATTGCAAAGTGGAAGCATGTATACAAGCAGAAACTCAGCCAGCAACATAGCTGTCAAGTCTCCCGTTTTGGCCGGGAAACTACCGTATTTTACCCCTCTTTAACGCCATCCTCCCGTATTAGTATTTTCCCGTAAATCTCCCGTATTATAATATAACTTTAAAAAAATTCCTCTGCCTCTCCAAACTGAACTGCCAGTAGCCTCGCGAGAACTGCCACCTGCAGTAGTCTGCAGGCCATTTACAACATTAACCAGGTCATAAATGTGGAGGTTAAAATGGCAATGCTGTGTGCCAAAAACAACGTTACTTTCACCTTCTGTGAAGACTTCAACAAGGATACAAAGTCTGCAACAAATCTGTATAATAAGTCATTAGTGAATGCAAGAGAGCCACATAAGTGAACATGAGAAATTAAAAGAAAATGTGTAATGAAAAAAAGTAAATAACAAGTGGTTATTTTAGATTTCTTGTACACCTGTCTTAAAATGTAAGGGATACTGGAGCTTGGTTGGGGTGCTGGGATGGCTCGCGGTGGGTGCCAGAAAATTTCCCTTATTTTCAAATCCAAAACTTGACAGGTATGGCCAGCAAGCGACAGACAGTGTTGAGCGGGATTGCCGACTGCTGAAGTGTGTAGGGCATCTTCATGTCACCAAGCTTAATGCCAAGTATTGGATGGAATGGTGTAAAACCTGCCACTACTGGACTCTGGAGCAGTCGAAACGTGTCATGTGCAGTGATGAATCACGCTTCTCTGTCTAGAGGTCTGATAGATGAGTCTGGGTTTGGCGGTTGCCAGGAGGACATTACCTGCCTCACTGCATTATGCCAACTGTAAAGTTTGGTGGAGGAGGGGTAATGGTATGAGGTTGTTTTTCAGGCATTGGGCTAGGCCCCTTAGGTCCAGTGAAGGTAACTCTTAATGCTTCAACACACCAAGACATTTTGTACAGTTCTATGCTTCCAATGTTGTGGGAACAGTTCAGGGAAGGTCCTTTTCTGGTCCAGCATGACTGTGCCCCAGTGCACAAAGCAAGGTCCACCTTTGGGATGAACTAGAACGAAGATTACGAGCCAGGCCTTCATGTCTAACATCAGTGCCTAACCTCACAAATGCTCTTCTGGATGAATGAACACAAATTCCCACAGACACACTCCAACATCTTGTGAAAAGTCTTCACAGAAGAGTGGCAGCTGTTATAGCTACACAGGGGGGACCAACTCCATATTCCTGTAGGTGTAATGCCCAGGTGTCCCAATACTTTTGTCTATATAGAGTATTTATAGACAAAATCACCATTCATTGAGGTATCATTGTAGAATTATTTGTTCTATTTCCTCAGGGCCTGGAATCCCCAAGGTGACTGTTCACAGCACAAAAGAACCTCACAGTGAGTTACTTCAAAAGCTACAGAGCACCGATGGACAACGAAAATAGTACAATATTGAAGTTAATACAGTGTAGTTTCTTCAGTGACCACTAGAGAGCAGTACTTTTATCCTAGCAATTGACGCATTCTGAAAACTTAAAGGTTCTATGATGAGATTAATTTGATCAGAGAAAGAAGGTTCAGAGGCACAGATTCAGTGTGAAAATTACTAGGATGTTTTAGTCTGGTATTGAAGCTTTATTCAATTCTCTCATGCAATATCTACACTAGAGGGCTCCTGTAATCTCTGATTAGATTAAATGAGACAGCAGAATGAATCTGTCATCTCTGTGGATACAGTCTATTTTTCATAAGACGCGCATTTATAAAAATTGAATTTGCTCATACAGAATAGGTAAAAAGGGGAAGCAGATTAATATCACTAAAACGTGAAAGTATGCTTATGTATAATATTATTAGCTGCATGCATGGGAATTCCTTTCACATATCTGATTTTGCTCTGCTATGATAGATGCACATATACAGGCAAAAGTAAAGCTTAGGGTTAGACATTTACCTGGCGTCCCTGTGTAGTTTTTGGGGTTATGGGCCTGGCATTGATGTTGCTCAATAAAGTAACAGCAGGTGAATGAGAGTTTTCAAATTTTCAATGGGTTCATATGTGATTTCATCCCCAACATGTTTGTTTTGCAATACAAAGTAACACATAGATCAGCAGAGGATACCAAGTTCATTTATACTACTTTTGGAAGTGCTGTTTATCACAAAATATACTCCATTGCTCTAAATATGAGTGAACAAGGTTACAAATAATGTTCTAAGGAGCGTACTGGTGAAATTTCAGGTGTTAAACATAAATGAAAAGTTTTAACACTCAGTGAGTGTTAAACTGGATTGTGTACAGTGTTTGGAATGTGGCCTGCTAGCCTTATTTTTTCCCTAAGTCCTCATTTTTATCATGCTAGTTTTGCATAATCCTAATGATTTACTGTATTGAATCTGTAGCGTTTAGCAGAAATATCTGTACATGGAACTACAATGCATCAGTGATATTAAAATGAATGTGTTGTGTCTCAGGGTACATTGTGCTGGAGGACAACAAGCCCATGTCTCAGGCCATGGAGGGAAAGTGGCTCCCGGAGATGCAGTTTCGGACTCTGTCGGGCGAGAACTATGGTATGAGTTCTGAGCTTCACTCCAGTTCTGAGCTTCACTCCAGTTCTGAGCTTCAGCAGGAAGCTGAACCACATTAGCATGGTTTAAGTTGGGCACCTGGTCAGATACTGAGAGAAGTGGATGCTTTTCCCCTCAGCCTCATCGTGCTTCTGTCAGTATAAAACAATGTTTTGCCCGAATGTAACTTCGCAGTGGGCTGTCTGCCTGCCGCACCAGTGTTGCTGTGTTGTATTTTTCTGTGAATTGCATATGGCAGAGCAGAAGAGCTTGCAGCTAGACGCTGTAACAGTTAAACTGAGAGAGTCTGCGTTCAGGGGGTGAATTTAGTGACCATTATATTGTATGCTTTGTGGAAGCTTTTATCCGAAGAGATTTACTTATCTTTTGTTTTATATCGTACCAGTAAAAAGTTTGGACACGCCAAGTTGCCTATAGAGTGTAATGGTTGGCAAGTTTGGACAAGCCAAGTTGACAATATCTCACATCACTACTGAATATTAATTTGACATTCCCCGTTTTTCTGTGTGTTGTATTTCATCAACAACAACTACAATGTTAATGAGATTACTATGTGATATTTAGCCTACTGTTGTTTTTCATAATTAGTAACCCAAAATAGGTTTACTTTATATATATGTACACACACACCTTTGTATTGGTAAGTGTGTCCAAACTTTTGACTGTCCATTAGCTTTTCGTATTACTGAACAGAAGGGTTTAGTTACCATAATTGGTACGACAGCAGGGATAGTCCTAGGACTTATCCATCCATGCATCTTCTAACCATTTATCATGGTCATGGTTGCGGGGGATTTGGCGCCTATCCCAGAGAACACAGGGCAAAAGGCCAGTCCATCTCAGGGTACACACACACACACACACACACACACAAGCACAATCATTCCATTCAGAGGCATCGTGCCATTCAATATTGCAGCTTTCAATGGCAAGTTCAATGTGCCACCTGGTGACCAAAATAGCAAAATACAGGCAAGAAAGGCTTTTAGCTGCAAAGGGCCGCTGTGTATGCGGGTTTTCGCTGAAACTCCCTAATTAGATTACTAATTAGAGGACTGATTGGCCGAAGAGTCCTCACACCTGGGTTTGAACAGCTGACCTACAGGTTATCCCAAAAACCCGCATACACACCGGCCCTTTGCGGATAAGATTGGGCACCCCTGATTTAAGGGGAGCATATTCCTGGCTTTTGTCTTAGTATGTTGAGCATTTTAAAATCTTTTACAATCTCTCTCCCGTGATGTTCTGCAAGTTTTCCAACTGCAATACAGATGCATAACCCTATTCATTAAATTTTTTTATTCTCATTTCATTGTTTGTCAACACATTCCTGCTGAGGA